AATCTCTTCATGACCAAGTTTCCATCTGCCGCAGAGCCATTTGACCTGTAACATGGATATCTGATTATGCCATGTCCTGGCAGAAAGCCTTTTTTTTGTTTGGTTGGTTTTGCTTTTTGGGCTGCACCCAGTGGTACTAAGGGCTTTCTCCTGGCTCTGCTTTTAAAGATCACTCGGGTGGGGCTCAAGAGACCTATGGACCCTGGGGCTCAAATCCAGGTAGGCAGTATCCAAGGCAAGTGCCCTCCCCACTCTATATCTCTAGCCCCAGTTCCATACTTTTTATTCTTAAAAACAATTAGTTAACATGACTTACAAATTTGTTAATCACAGGGATTCATGCATACAATATTCCAACACCCCACCCCCAAGTTCCCATTACTCCCCACCATTGTCTCAGGGTCCCCCTCAACATCCACACCATTGGAAGCTCAGTTCTATAGACAACCCAGTTTCTGTTGTCTTTAGCTATTTTTTATATAGATCATTCTGCATCTGTCCCCCTCTCCTTCTAGCTGACCTCACTCAGCCTAACTACCCCACTCCCCTTGGAACCATCCACAGAAGCAAATGTGGTTGTTAGTCAACTACTATGACCTGTGAATCATATACCAAGATTTCCCAATTCATATATTTCTCTAAAACTTCACTACTACAACCCATCAAGGGAAGGTCACCATTATCTGCCACATAGAAGAGGAAATGATTAGGTATACGAAGAATCAATCTCTCTCTCTCTCTCTTTCTCTCTCTCTCTCTCTCTCACACTCACACACACATACACACCACACATACAAAATCACACACACTTACACACATACTGACACACACACACTTACACACACTATCACACACACTCATACACATACACACTCACACACACACACAGAGAACATGAGTACATGTACAGCAATTGCTGTGGCAGAAGCAACAGATATGCAGCCAAAGGGAAAAGGGTCATAGCATGTTCAGGACCTAATACTTGGCAGAGAAGTGTACAGCACAGAAATAAAACTGCTAGAGCTTAATGAGATACAAATAATGATGCAAATATAACAATAATGAAGGGCATCTAAATAATAAAATTAGATACAGAAGAATCAGCCAGAGAGAAAAAGAAGCTTCCTGTAGCCAGTGTTTCTCTGCTCTGTCGCAGTATTTACGGTGGTCTCTGGGCTTCTCTAGAATTATAGCCTTTAGCTCCAGCCTTAGGAACTGGAGGCTCACTGCAGCTTCAGTCACCTGAGATCAGTGTGTAGTTTAGCCTCTCACAGCAATGGCATTCAGTTAGTCACGTCACTTTTGATAACCTTTATATTTTTTCTTCAGGCAAAGGGGAACAAAAAAGCTTTCCTAGAGATGAAATCAACTACGTGAAAACTGTGTGTTGAGTGTCTCATCCAGCTGTGGGGCTCATGGAGTTTTGAATCTTGAGGAATGAAGAAGCAGGGATAGGGTGGGAGAAGGGAATGCAGGAAAATTATCGTTCTGAACCCCCAAGAGTTTGTAGTGTTTCCAGAGAATTAGAACTGACAGAAGTAAACCTCCCTAGAAAAAAACCCTGAGGTAAGGAAGTCCTCTAAGAATTGTAGTAGCAAAGGAAGTATTAGACTAATTCAGAGGAAAGATCTCATTTCCTCTCTTCTTGGCTCTCAATCTAGCCATCCTTCTCAACCCTGTCAACCTAATTTCCCTCTGAGGTAAAGGTCTAATCACAGTAGCGTATAATTTTACAACTGAAAGGGGCTCTGGAGGTCACCGATCCATTCCCCCACTCTTCACCTGAAGAAACTGAAGCCAACAAAGAGATTAAGTGGCTTGTCTAAGATTACACAGTTGCTTAATTCATTCAACACTTCAGAAATACTTATAGATCACCTACTAGTTGTTGGGCCTTTCCTAGGAGCCCTGAATGACTCCTACATCTGGGATAGAGCCTCAAAATACTCAACTGTACCCTTGTGACTGAAGGTCCATTGCTTGACAGCAAGGTCGGTGAAGTGGAGTCTCTATAGCAAGAACTTTTGCCAGTGAGACCACTATCCCCACTAAGAATCACTGCATACAAAATGAGAGACTGCAGATTAAATACATAACCGAACCCTAAATTATTAAAAATAATAGAAAGTAGTTCAATAAATTACTACATACTTGAAATGTGTTATACCAACTAAACATTGAGTTTAATATTGCTTGCTTGAAAGTACGGTTGAGGTAGGAAAAATGATGCAGAAGAGAATTCTTACTTTATCAAGAAAAGAATCCATGCAAGACTCTTTTTCCTCTAGCATTAATTTAAAGGAGACATTTTTAATGAAAGCCCCTTTACCTGGGACATTGAGTAATATCTTCAACTCTGTATTGTAAAAGAAAGAAACTTTTTTCCATATAAATATCTTCAACTATGTGGTGCAAAAGATGGAAATTTTTTCTCCCATATGCTGAAGGCACAATATTAAATCTTACCTGAGTGATAGTATTTCTGCTGGGAGCTGAAATAATATAGCAGAGGAACATTGTTTCCTGGTGATTTACTTCAATAGATGGAGCTCAAAGAACCTGGAGAAATGAATGGCCTATACAGACTGCTTCCTGCTGCCCCCCAAAGTATCTTTGTCAAGTGCTGCAATGGGCCATTTCATGACTGAACTCTGACAGTATGTGAAGGAGTTTCATGGTCTATGTGTTGATTAAACATAGATCTTTCTCTTTAGCAAGAATATATGGAGGAGTAGAAGTGACATTCTACTGCGCCTGTGTTGGAGACTGATGTGCCCCCCCCACCCGCTCCTCGGGCCCTCAAAGAGTTGGCTAAAGGAGGAACTATAAGGAGTCTGAACTTCAAAAGCCAAGCTATGTGTCTGGCTGGACAGGCACTTAACCAAATAAATTCTTTTCTGCTTAAGAAAAGATAACTTTTGGGACTGGAGTGATAGCACAGCAGGTAGGGCGTTTGCCTTGCACGAGGTCTGACCCAGGAATTGTCCCAGCATCCCATATAATCCCTTGAGCATGGCCAGGAGTAATTCCTGAGTGCATGAACCAGAAGTAACCCCTGTGCATAGCTGGGTGCGACCCAAAAAGAACAATAAAAAAAAAAAAGAAAAGATAGCTTTTTTGCTTGGAAGTTTTAAGAACATGTGCTATTAACCAATTGGGTTAGTCATAAAGGAACTTTGGGGTGGCTGCAATACTATAGTGTGCAGACAACATTGAAATGGCTAGGGGCTGGAGAGATAGTAGTGGGTAAAGCACCTTGGTGCATTCCTGACCTGGGTTCTATCCCTGGCACACCATAGTTCTGCAAGCACACCAGGTGTGATCATCCTGAACACTGAGTGCTGAGCAAGAGCAAGCCTCGAGCATCAAGTGGTATGACCCCCAAACCAAAACCAACCAAATACACAAATAAATCCAATGACATTGCTAAACTTTAGGCTGGTAATCACAAATATAGAAAAACCCATTCTTTAACTTTCCTAGTCTTACAATTAACCTAAAAATTTGAATGTACAATTAAAACCCTGAACATGCTGTATTAAAGATAAGTATATTTTAAAAGGAAAACAATTGCCCTCACCTAGTTTTAAAATACCCACCAAGACTATACTTTCAGGGATCATTTCTATAGTTCATTACTAGAGAAGATTCTCTGATCATGTAGCACTGTAGTACTGTCCTCCTATTGTTCATTGATTTTCTCAAGTGGGCACCAGTAATGTCTCCATTGTGAGACTTGTTTCTGGCATATCAAATATGCCACGGGAGCTTGCCAGGCTCTGCTGTGTGGGCAAGATTCTCTCGGTAGCTTGCCAGGCTCTCTGAGAGGGGCAGAATAATCAAACCCAGGTCGCCACGTGCAAGGCAAATGCCCTACCCACTGTGCTATCACTCCACCCTGTGCTATCACTCTGATTGTGTAGAACACTGAAATCACAAGGAGTCAGAGCATCCTCTTCTGAGTGTGAAGCCAGTTCTATTTTTTATATATATTAGATTTTGTTGAAAATTTTATTTATTTTTTTGTTCTTTTTGTTTGTTTTTTAATTCAACATGACGATTGACCTGGCACCTGAGCTGTGCAGGAGAAAGAGAGCAGCATGGAATGCCTTCAAGAGCATCAAAGAAGTTGTTAAGAGGATGAAGAACCTCCGGCTCTGGGCATATCTTTTCGACTCCACTGTTCTTCCTGCATTAACCTATGCCTCAGAGACCTGGACCCTACAAAAACAGGATGAGAAAGCTATTCGGGTTTCCCAAAGAGGAATTGAAAGAGCTATGCTTGGAGTATCATGCTTCCCTCAAGTGAGAGGAGGAATCCGGAGTTCCGACCTCCATTGATGATCGAGAATTAGGGAAGCTGTCTCGTTTGCCAAGGCATCAAAAATCACATGGGCTGAACATGTAATACAATTTGGAGATGATCGCTGGACTAGAGCTGTTACTGACTGGATTCCATGGGATGTCAAAAGATCATGTGGCTACACACCTATGAGATGGTCAGATTTCTACGTCAACACCCTGAACCAATGGTTTGAGGCTCTTCGTGTTCCTGGAGTGAGCAGACGCTACTGGTCTACACTAGCACGTGACAGGGATGAATAGAGATGTTACTTGCACCCACTCAAGCAAATTGTTGAGGAACGGAATGTCAAGTGATCAAGTGATTGAGTCACCGTAAGATAGTTACAAGCTTTCATGTTTGGGTTACAATCACACAATGATCAAACACCCATCCCTCCACCAGTGCACATTCCCCACCACCTAAATCCCTGATATGGTCTTCCTTTCCCACCTTCCCTCTGCCTCCATGGCAGACAATATTCCCCATATTCTCTCTCTACTTTTGGGCATTATGGTTTGCAATACAGACAGTGAGAGGTTATCATGTTTGGTCCTTTATCTACTTTCAGCACACATCTCCCATCTCGACCAGTTCCTCAAGCCATCATTTTCTTAGTGATCCCTTCTCTATTCCAGCTGCCTTCTCCCCTTTGCTCATGAGGCAGATTTCCAGCTATGGAGTAGTCTCTCTGTCCCATGTATCTTCTATCCTCAGGAGTCAGCCTCATGTTATGTTGTTTCATACTCCACAAATGAGTGCAGTTGTGAAGCCAGTTCCAGGTGTGGCTTTTGCAACTGCCCTTTACCATGGATGATCATTATTCTCTTCTCTTGGAAGTGGAAGAGGGACAGGATACAGTCTGAGTGGTTCCAAAAAAGAAAAAGAAAAAAATAGAAAAAATAATACCCACCCAACAAATTGTTAATACTGTCCTCCAGGATAGAAATGTAAGCAGATTCTTCCTGGATTTTTGCAAGTGATATCTTAAGACAATTAAATTTGAGATTAAAAGAATAGTTCCTCTTTAATTGATTTCAGAGAAAAGGCCTTAAGTAAACATAGTTAATGTCTGGTGCTTTGGCAAAGACACAATATAGACTCAAGTTGGACTTCTCTGGCATTACCTCAGTAAATGACTATTTATAAAATAGAATTGCCTGGTAAATAACATTGACAGCAGGTATTTGATCAGTTGTTGGTATGTGTCAGAAGGAAATATGTATGTTTTAGAACACAGCAGGATCTACATGTCAGGAGGCTGAATTCAACAGCACTCTGGGGGTCGGGGTTGGGCCACACCAGTGGAGCTTGGAGTCTACTCCTGGTTTATCGCTCAGGGCTCACTCCTAACAATGCTTGGAGAATGGCCAAATGGTGCTAGGTATTAATCCTGGATTCTGCATGCAAAGGATATGCTCCAGATTCTTTAGCTAGCTCTGGCTCAGTACAGCACTTCTAGAAGAATGACAATTAGGAAAAAAATTTGAAGACTTTCCCGAGGCAAAAAAGTATGCATGCTCTTGTTTTTGTGACTTTATGTGAATCTCCAATTATTAACAGCAACAGAGCTGAGCAGACACAAAGAGCAGGACAGTGCTTGAGAGAAGCAAAGGGATGCATGATATGATTTTTGAAATTAGTTTTGGTGGAATACCTAGAAAATACCCAGGTGACCTTGTGGTGCTGGTGAGCCAACCCAAAGCCCCTTGTACTCAGCTTTGAACTCTTTTTTCAACCCTAATACAACTTGCTATGAGGACTAAAACTTGAAAACATTTCCAGATATTGTTAAATTTGATTTTCTTTTTAAGTAGGAAAATTGTCACAAGTGAGAGAAGGTAAATCTGAAGCTGGTTTTATCTGTTTCCCACTAATTCCTTTTTCAAGCCCCACTGCCGAGGTAAAGGCACAATTCCTATTACCATAACGTAGTCCTCAAGGTTCAGTCTCTGTGTGATATCCTCTTCTTTCTCATTTAATCCTGGTTAACTGTTACTGCTTAAATAAATCAAACTGATTGACTGCTGGTTTATGGTACTGTAAAATTCCAAACCACATCTCTATGTTCATAAGTTTCACCACATGATCTTCACAGATCTTTAAAAGTCAACACCTAACCCTTTAGCAGAAACTAAACTTGTTCTTAGCCTCTAAAGCACTCTCTATGGTGCTTGCCATGACAAGGTTTGGGGAAGAAACCAGTGCTCCCTACTGGAGAGATGATGCAGCAGGTAGGGCACTTGTCTTGCGTGTGGCTGACCCATATTTGATACCCAGAACCACATATGGTCCTCCAAGCCCCACCAGGAGTGATTTTAGTCCATGACTAAGCCCTGAGCACACACTGGTGTGACCAAAACAACAATAAAAGAAACTAGTTCTTCAATCGCTCCAAATAAAGTAAATAAAATGGCAAAATAGCATTGATCATTTGGCCTACAAATCAAGCGATCATAATTGAAAAACTTAAATACTGGAAATTCAGCAAAACCAAAAAGACCCTTGGTTTAAGCAGAAGTTCACTCTGCAAAAGAACAATGCTACATCTACCAAGAAGGACAAGCCTCGAAAATAGACCAGAGTAACGTATCATCTTATTCCAAATGCCCCAAACAATTGTTTGCTTGTGTTCCAATGCATGCTCTGACTGTCAAGTAGGGAAATTGATTTTCATGTGAGTGTCATGAAAACATATTTCACTCACACTTTGATGATTTTGCAAAACATGTTTGAGAATACTTGGTAAGCAACTCCCATGTGTCTTACTGCACTATGAAGTGAAGGATTTTTCAATGCTGCTGGAAACTTGCATTTTTCTTAGGTAAGAATCAATAATAATAAAAAAAGATGCTCCAAATAGCTTCCTCCATGATTGGTCCTCCCTCCTCCCCCCACCCCAGTCCCCAGTCCCAATGGCTGGTCTTTATAAGTAAACTGTTGAACTCTGACAAGTTTTTAAGACTGACAGTTTTCTAGTTTTCTTGACTTATGTGAAAATTTAAGAAAAGAGGTCAGGCTGAATAGAGAAGTCTTCTCAGTTTATAGAACTATGAACACACTTCATTCTACAAAACAACATGCCACTGGTCTCTTTACTGTAAATTGATAGAAGTGCTTTTCATAGAAAAGAAGAAAAATGTGTTCTAGTCTAGGAAAGGGGAAGAAGATCCAAAGGAAAAGTCAATGGGGAACTTTTCAAAATGACTAGCATGATAGCCTCCCTCTCAGTCTCAGCCAAAATGAAACAACTATTTGTCAAATTTAAATGAAGAAAATTAGTGCTAAATAGCCATGTTACTGACTCTCCATAAGCAAGATTAAGAAATTGTAAAGATGAACAGTTAGAAGCATTTTAAGAAAATATACATAACTCAGAGGTAGTCCGGAGGAGCTGTGGTGATGAGGTTGTATTTAACATTCTAATAAAGATAAACATGCTTGCCAAAACTCCTGTGCATAATGGTAACCTGTCCTATATAAATAGCTGAAGGGGGAAAAAAGATGTTTCTGCCCAGTGAACATTTTAAGTGCTAACAAGGTCAATACTCCCAGCATTTAAGTAAATGCCCATGAGAAACGAGTCTGGGAGAGATAAAACGGCCTCCCTTATACTGAGACGCCCAGTCCCAAAGCTAATCTTTGGGAACAGGGAGCAAAACATTCAAGCTCCTCTGGACAGGACTCACATTAGGTATATGCTGGCTGGCTAAGCCCCAGACTCTGGTTTGTTGCAAAGGCTTGGCGACTCACATGTAGCAAAGAAACACTATCACCATTGTGACTTCCTCACCCCATGCACAGATTTCAGGCCCATCAAACATCCACAGTCTTCTATGTTTCCTGTAAGCACAGAAATACACACACAATCCTGTTTCTTCACTTCTAACACTCTCTCACCCTCCACCTAGTATCTTTGACCTCTCAGAGAACTCAAAGGAGATTTAAGCATGCTTTTCTGCTAGGTTCATTCAGCCCTTTCATAGCTTGTTTCTGAATATGATGTTCTATTCTTTTTGTAAGTTGTAGTTTGGGTAGCATAGTTAAAATAGAGTTAACATTTAGGGTTAACATTTGGATGTCTGAGTTACTGCACATCCTCCTTTCCCCAACCCTGACCACCAGCAACAAAGTGTCCAAGACCCTTCACCACTGTCCTTATGTCACTTCTAGTCATTGAAAACTGCTTTAACTTAAGAGAGGCTAGTGAAGAGACAGAACCTGGAGAGCTACTTTAACTGTAGGCTTCAGAATTTCTATCTATAAAAGAAGGTATCACAGGCACTGCATAAGTGGTAGCTAAGAGGATGAGATAAAAGAAGGTGCAGAGAAACTAGAGAAACTGGCATATAACAAGTATTCAGTAAGTAACAATAGTAATTTTATTACCTCTAGTTTCTGAGATCCTCACGTCATTCTGTCCTAACCCAAGATCTACTGTGTTTCATCCCTTCACCCAGCCTAGTACGGACTGTAGGCATCAGCTGGACATGGAGTAACTACCAACCATAGACCCATCAAGATTAAAAGTAAGATTTAAGAAGTGTAAGGGGCCTCCCTATCTTCTTAAGAATTCGAATAATGCTCAGTCTATGGGAGGTGGAGGTGGAGAATGACACACTTTCATCAAGAGCTCGAAGGAGATGGAGAGACAGATGATGGGTCTGCTTTGGAATCCTTGTTAATCCTCAGTATAAAATAAACCCACAACAATTTGAGAATTATCCTAATAATCCACATTCCCCTACATCATAACCAAAATTCATTGCTCTGTTTTTCTAGATCCCCGAGCCCACCTGGAGGAACTGGCCAAGATCCCGGGTCAAATCAAATATCTCATTTTCCAGGGAGGTAGCCAAGCTAGAGAAAAGAAGAGCAAGGCTGAGAGGTTTGCCATTGTGCCTGTCACCTTAGGGAAGTCCCCAGAGAAAGAAGAAAAAAGAAAGAACACTACCGAGTTTGAGGCCAGCACTTTGGGCATCATTGTTCCTTCCCACCTGAAGGCAGGGCGTACATAACACTCACATTATCTACTTTCCACCATCCTGGGAGTCTCTCAACTCAGGGAGACCTGCAGGAACAGTGCTTCTAGCTCAAAATGCTGGTTAATTGTGACTCTCATCATCCCTGTTATTAGAAATCTGTCATTCAGAAGTGCTCAGGGCAGTCTGTGACAGCATAGAGCTTTATGGAGATGTCATTTCCATGTTTAGTATTCTGAGCATTAAAAACCAGTTTGGCTCACCAAATGAGCAATAGGTGTCATGTTAATTATGTAACTTTTTAGAGCACTAATAGGATCTCCCACTGAGCCAACTGGGATTTAAAAAAAAAATACGTATTTTATTTGCTCCTCAGCATACTGATCTTCTTGAATCTGTTGCTGTGGTCATTAATAAACATTTAAAAGTAACCCAAAAAGGCTTTTTTGTGAACTGGAGGATGGATCTGACTGCCAAGTATCTGTATTTGGAAGATATAAAGCTGGTATCAAAGTTGGTCATTATGACTTCAACTTGTTCTGAGAAACCTCCTTATCCAGAATTTTGTTCACACTCTTAATCAGTTACAAATAAAAGAAAAATTACAAAAACCATTTGCACTCTTGATTTTGAAAAACCAGAAATAGGATGCCTCATTTTATTTCTATTTCATTCTATTCTGGACACATAAACACTTAATTTAATTTCACTTCAGCTACTGATGTATGATCACCAACATGCTCTTTTATAAGTTCCTTTCGGTGTTAGAATAATAATTCAAAATAAAATTACTACTTTTGCGATTCTAAAATACCATAATGGATAGTTCTTAAAAGCATATCAGAGAAAGTTTATTCCTCGCTTACTTTGCCTTCCATTTTTACTTAAA